TCTCTCTAGATAGACTTTTAACTCATTGGGGAGAAGGGAAGGGAGCTTTTTAGAGGTGTATGGGCCTGTTTATTCTAGGTTATAGCTTTCCTCGGACACAAGAGTGATTGCAGTCAGAAGTAAAATTTTCTAGATATTTTTCTAGAGCCCCGGAAGTGAGAGAACTGTGATGTTGAGTTATCATTTGAAGGCACCAGGACCCACAGCAGAATGTGTTAAGACAAGAGGCCTGTCTTCTTCCCATCCAAGGGCACTTATTTATTTACTATTTGGAGATAGATGTCATGTAGCCTAGGCTGTTCTCAATCTCACTGAACAGCTGAAGATGACCTTGAACTCCTAATCTTCTGCCTCCATCTGCAGAGGCTGGGATCTTAGTTGTCTACCACCGTGCCCATTTCATTTGGTGCTAGGGTTAGAACCCGGCCTTGTGCGTGGTAGGCAAACACTGTACCCCATTTCTGAATTAATGAAGGAAGTCTGAGGACACTTTCCCAGTGCATTGGTGAAGATGGGGATGATAATTCCGGCTTGCTTTCTCATTTACCCTCCGGTCCTATATAAGCAAGCGTCCCTCCCCACTTGGTTCTACTCACTCTGATGTCTACTGGGCTGCCTGCTCACAAAGCACGGCTCCAAAGTCCTGCTGGCTTTGTGTGAGCCCTGTTCAAGGATGACAGGACTGAGGTAGTTCAGCTGGGTCTTTGTTATAATTCTCTCTCTCTCTCTCTCTCTCTCTCTCTCTCTCTCTCTCTCTCTCTCTCTCTCTGTGTGTGTGTGTGTGTGTGTGTGTATGTGTGTGTTGAGACAGGGTCTCTCCATTATGTAGCTCTGGTTGTCCTGGAACACACTCTGTAGACCAGGCTGGCCTTGAGCTCACAAAGATTGGCTTGCCTCTGCCTCCTGAGTGCTGGGATTAAAGGCACATGCCACTGTATTCAGCTGTTACAATTTTTTAAGAGGATACAGTTTTGGCAGTGGTGGGGCTCAGAAGATGATTCCCCAAAGCAAGCTACTTTGGCTGCTGGGCACTTTGAGCCGAAGGTTTCTGGAAGGCCTTAGAAGCAAAGCTTCCCCTTGTCCTTTTTCTTCCCGTCTCCTTTGCACCCCAAGGGTGGCCATAGAAATGAATTCCAGGCTGGGGAGATGGTTCAGTTGGTAACGTGCTTGCCTTGCAAGAGGAGGGCCTGAGTTGTATCCCCAGAACTCATGTGAAAAAATGCTGGATGTGGTGGCCCATGCTTGTAACCCCAGCACCGAAGAGGTGGAGATGGGCAGGTCCCTGGGGCCCACTGGCCAGCCAGCCTGAGCAGAGTAGATGAGCTCCGAGTGAGAGACACCGTCACAAAATGTGTGGCAGATGGTGTCTGAGGGACAAGACCTGAGGTTAACCTCTGACCTCCAAACACGTGCACATACATGTGCACATGAACCCATACACGCCAGTGTATACATGTGCGCACGCGCAACACACACTTGTAGCATGAATCTTTTTTTTTTTTAAAGATTTATTTATTTATTATGTATACAGTGTTCTGTCTGCACACACCCCTGCAGGCCAGAAGAGGGCACCGGATCTCACTACAGATGGTTGTGAGCCACCATGTGGTTGCTGGGAATTGAACTCAGGACCTTTAGAAGAACAAGCAGTGCTCTTAACCTCTGAGTCATCTCTCCAGCCCCCACGAATCTTAAAAGGTCTTATTAATAAAAACAAACCAAGAGCCAGATATTGGGGTGAATGCTGGAAGATCAGAGAAACAGAACAAGCCACATCCAACCTCACCTTGCCAATTCCTCAGCTGATCTTGTTTCCTTAGACTGGAAGCCTCTGAGTCCTCATCTAAATGGATCTAGCTGAACTGCTGCTAAAAGCTAAAAGCTTAAAGGGGCTCTAGTTCCTGGTCCTCATGCCTTATATACCTTTCTGCTTCCTGCCATCACTTCCTGGGATTAAAGGCGTGTGTCACCATGCCTGGCTGTTTCCAGTGTGGCTTTGAACTCACAAAGATCCAGATGGATCTCTGCCTCCAGAATGCTAAGATTAAAGGCATGTGCTACCACTGCCTAAACCTATGTTTAATATAGTGGCTGTTCTGTTCTCTGACCCCCAGATAAGTTTATTGGGATGCACAATATATCAACCACACACACTAAAAAATTCCAAATCTTAAAAAAACAGCCAGGCGGTGGTGGCGCATGCCTTTAATCCCAGCACTCGGGAGGCAGAGGCAGGCAGATCTTTGTGAGTTCGAGGCCAGCCTGAGATCCAGGAAAGACGCAAAGCTACACAGAGAAACCCTGTCTCAAAAAACCAAAAAAACCAAAACCAAAACCAAACAAAAAAACCCCCCAAAACCAAAACCAACAAAATAGGGTAGAAATCCAACCCTCTTCCCTCAAAGATAACCATAAGCCCAAGAATTACTGTTTTGCACACCCCCAGGTGTAAGAACTGGTCATAGAGAAACTCTCCAGCTGCCCTTGTCTACTGGTGAATGAATCAAAAGCCCTCATTCCAGAAGGCATCCTGTCCCAGGCTCATCCCATCCGTGTCTTACAGGGAACCTCGAGACTTGGAGCAGGCAGGTCTTGTTGAGTCTCTGCCTCGTTCATCTCATGTCTAATCTCGTCTCCACAGGGATATGCATTTTTCATTGAATCTGAGCATAAAAATAGCTCCCCTTGGCTTTCGGGTCTTTATTTCCGAAGCCTTCCATGTCACATAGGATCGATCTCTCTCAATTCACCCTTCCTCTCCCTCCCTCCCCTCCCCTCCCCTCTCCCTCCTCTTCCCTCTCCTTTCCTCTCACCTTTTCTTCTGTCCTTCCCTCCCCACCGTCCTAACTGTGGGTCTTACTAATTTTTGAGATGGAGTCTCATGTATCCCAGGCTGCACTCGAACTCCCCATGTATCTGAAGGTGACACTGAACTTCTGATCCTGCCTCAACCTCCCGCATGCTGGGATTTCAGTCATTCACCACCATGTCTAGTTATACAGTGCTATGGATGGAACCCGGGGCTTCATGGGTGCCAGGCTGCTGACTGCTGACTGAGCTACATCTCTAACCCATCACATGGGTCTTTGTCTTAATACATTTGTTATACATTTTTCCCTCATGTTAACCTGTTGTGTAGGTGTGTCGGTCATGACCCTAATTATAGAGGAAGAATAGTCCCCCATCCTTTCTGCTCCTGTAGTGGTGGTCAGTCAGGTGAATGAATGGTGCTCAGGTGTGACACATCTCACACTGTGGTATTTTACACATGGTGCCTAAGCTTTACCTGTTTATTCATCATGGTCTGTAGCTAGCGTGATGAGGCTGCCCAATCTCTGAAAGATACATTATGTAGCCAGAGCTGGCACAATTGGCTTTTAGTTGTATAAGATGCATGACGGATATTTTGGCTCTCTGGTAACTAAGCAAGAGAACATACAATCATCATCTTCCTCCTCCTCCTCCTCTTCTTTTCTTCTTCTCCCTCCTTTTTCCTCCTCCTTTTGTTTTTTTCTGAGACAGAGATTCTCTGTGTAGCCCTGGTTGTCCTGGAACTCTCTCTGTAGATCAGGCTGGCTTTGAACTCAGAGATCTGCCTCCCAAGTGCTGGGATTAAAGACATGTGCCACCACTGCCTGGTTACAATTTTGTTATTTGTTTTTAAAAATACTGTTATTATTATTATTTATTTATGGTATGTGTATATGTCTGCATATGAAGAGGACAGAAGGACATCAGATCCCCTGGCACTGGAGTTACAGGCAGTTGGGAGCTGCCTGATATGGGTGTTGGGAATCAAACTTGGGTCCTCTGCAAGAGCAGTGTGTGCTCTTCACCACCTCTCCAGCCCCTACAACTTTATTCTTAAAGGATAAGAAAGAAGTACAAATCAAGATCAACCTGGAGATGGTTAAGTAAGCATCGCTGGTGAGTTGTCACAGATTCCTGCTCTTGTCAGGGCCTCCTTATGTGCAAAGCATAGGAGATAAAGAAAACCTGTTGTACCGAAGCCTTCCTAGGATGCATTAGCAGTTTTACTGTACTTTCATATTCCGATAGTATGTGTATGTGTGTGTGCATGCACATGTGGGTGTAGTTTAACCTCAGAAGTCTTCCCTTGGGAATGCTATACACCCTGAGACAGAGTCTCTCATTGATCTGGAACTTACCAAGTAGGCTGTACTGGCTGGCTAGTGAGCCCCAGGATCTGCTTGTCCCTGTTTCCAAAGTGCTGGGATTACAAGCATGTGCTACCATGCCCATCTATTTCACAGGGATTCTGGGGAAACAAACTCAGGACCTCATGCTTGTATGGCAAGCAGTTTATTGAATGAACTATCTCCCTAGATCCCTGAGAGAGTTTAAAAATTTTTAATTAATTGATTAATCAGTTATTTGCTTAATGTGTACCTCATACAAAGGAGGGAGAAAACATGCTGTGTAAACTGGGCCTGATGGCTACTGGTTACCTGGGGGTCCCGGGAGGGCATTTGTACAGGCTATGATTCCTTGGTTTGTATAAATCCCACACTGCTATTGGGACTGTACTAGTGGATCAATGCTCACAGCTGAGGAGCCCAGATGCCTAATTAGCTACTACGGTTCTTCCCTAATGGAAGGGCTTTGTTGGGATGAGAAAATTCTATTGAGCCAAGTGCAGAAGAGGACGGACGGCATAGTGTGACCTCGGGAAGTGGTGAGGTGTGTGTGGAGCTCTTCTAACCCGGAGAGCCTCTGTTGTCCTGTGGAAACACTTATTGGATGCTGCTGGGGCCTGTGGTTTTATAAGGGATGCCAGAACACTTGATAAGTTTGTTGCTTTGCTTTGTTGTTAATGCTGCACAATCTCCGAATTGTAGAAACACAGTGTGGCCCCGACAGAGCACATCTTGGCCCACGGCCTGTGGGTTTGCCATCTTTGGATGAGAGGCTATCGCTCTGACTGTGTGTGTTCAGTTGTATGAAAATGCCTTACCCCCTTTCCTCCCTGTTTCTCTCAGGTTTACTAGAAAGCAGCACCCGGCTGAAACCTCACGAAGCCCAGAACTACAGGAAGAAGGCACTGTGGGTATCATGGTTCTCCATTATTGTCACCCTGGCCCTGGCGGTGGCTGCCTTCAGTGAGTATCAGGGAGTCTTGCCAATCAATACTCGCCCGCTGTCTGTCTTTCCCTCTAACCCCTGTGGGATATGCTTTGCTTTTAGTTGACTGTTATTGATGAGTAAAAATTTTTTTAGATGGTTGGATGGTCAGGGTACTTATGAATTAGTAAAACGGCTTCACTCCTCTGCAGAGGGAAGAGGTATGAGAAAGGAACGGAGAGAAATAACTGAGCGCTTCAGTCTCATCAGTATGCAGGTCTGTGGAAGTGGATTCTGGCTGGCACCAGCCGAATAGTGAAAATAGTCTCTTGGCAGATGCCTCCAGCTCAGGCTGACATGACGAATCCACATCCTGGAGACTAGGGTTTTGAGCCTAATGTAACTGGATGAGTGCAATATTGCAGCAAGTGCTTTCCTTTCGCTCCTGATTGTGTCTTGTGCAAGGTCAGGAGTGAAATCGTATGTATGCTTTTAATGAAAGGAAAATAAAAAGGTCTTCTCTCAGGGTTTTAGTGCATGAAAATAAAATAATTTCTTACGATTCTGAGATGTTATGAAAATGGAGCAACTTGTCTGTAGATGATCTCGTTTGGGGATCTGGAATTTCTACGGTGGGTTTCTCCATTGACACTCAGTTTATGAAACACGCTTGTGCTATTTATTCTTATTAATTGTGCAATGGTTCATACGCCTAAGCAGCGAGCTACAGCTCCATCTTGATAGGAATTGTACTTTTTTTTTTTTGTTTTTTGTTTTTGATTCTCCTTTTCTTTTATGGTAGAAAACAAGGGAATATGTTTTTTTATAAATTTTGTGATGAGAAGAAAGATCTGTGTTCTATGTGCTAAGCATCCCACAAGGTGCTTCAGGGGAGGAGGAGAAAGGACCATGGTCACTAGGCGACATGGCTGTGTGCAAGTTGTTTAAAATTCTCTTCTGCCGCCTTTGATGGTGCTGCTGGAAGTTGGGCTGGATCCCAAGGGGCCAGGAATTAGAATTTGACCAAATGCTCCCTTCAAAACTCAGCATATATTATTAGAGACAATTTATGTTGGAAACACTATAAATTTATTCCAATTAAATTGGAAACAATAGCCTGGCTCTAAAAAAGCCAAATATTCAGAATGGAGAAACAATACGTTTCAGGGAATAAACATTTATCAGTGAGCTAGAAGTCTAATCAGAAAGAATTCTGACTTTTGAAAATATATAATAGCCTCTCTCTCTCCCCTCGCCTTCCCCTTTTAATACTGAGACCAAAAATAACAAGGCAATGGATGTCCCTTGAGGGTAATTTGGTTGTTGTGGCTGGTAGGGGGACTGGAGATCAGACATGGTGATTTACATATGTGAAGAAGGAGGGATGGGATGAAGGGGGGGGGGGATGATTTACAGACAGAATGATGGCTCCTCGGGGCGTGTCCCCGTGCCCTGTGAAGCTGTGAGGGCGGCAGGGTCCTCCTGATGTTTGAATGAGGACCTGAGTATGAGGTTGTGAATGAGTCTTTCCTTTGGAATAATAGTGCTACGTTTGATGTGCTTAAGCTATGTAATATGAGAAAAAGAGGAGGAAAACTTGGCTTCACTTATAATACCCAATCAGGTGGATTATTCTAGAAATGCTCCATTTCCTTTGATGGAAAAAGTCTTTGTGAGGCCAGGGCTTTATGGAAGAGTTTCTTCTTCCTTTTCTTTTGAAAGCCATCTTACTCCTTTATCACAGAACCATTTAAGTTACATCCTTTAACTTCCCTTTTAAAGATTCATTTTTACTGATTACTTACGTGTATGCCTGTGTGCGCCCATGTGAATTCTGTATATCCCAGAAGGCCCCCAAAGGGCATGGAACCCCTGCAGCTGACGTTATAGCCAGTTGTGGGACTCGGATACTGGGGACTGAACTCAGTTCTCTGGCAAGAGCAGCAAGTGTCCTTAACCACTGGCCATCTCTCCAGCCACCTTTAACTTCTTGCCTGTAAGACGCGGATGCTGCTGTATTGTTTATCATGACCTGTCATGTTCTGTACATGCCTTTCATTTCACTTGTGAGTTGCTTCTAACTGCTTCTGATTTAGTTAAACCCTAAACCATAGAAGATAAATAATATTTTGCCTCATTTAAACTAGAGTGACTTCAGTGTGTGTGTGTGTGTGTGTGTGTGTGTTGGGAGTGGAGAGTTCATGTCTACATGTGTGTGCTGCAGGGGTCAGGGGGATGTTTGGAGTAGTGTTCTAGCACACTCCACACTTTATTGCTTTTATTAAAAAAAAGATATATTTATTATGTATACAAAAGAGGATGCCAGATCTCATTACAGATGGTTGTGAGCCACCATGTGGATGCTGGGAATTGAACTCAGGACCTCTGAAAGAGCAGTCGGTGCTCTTAACCTCTGAGCCATCTCTCCAGCCCCCACTTTATTGCTTTGAGATGGGGTCTCTCACTGAACCTGGAGCTTGACTGGCAGCCAGCAGGCCCTTGCAATTCCCTTTGCAGCCCTCCACTGTACTGGGGTGACAGGCCCTCGAAGCTCCACTTAGCTTTTTATGTGTGTGCTGGGGATTCAAACTAACGTCCTCACGCTTGCATAGCAAGCGCTTTACCGACTGCGCCGTCTCCCCTATGAACTCGTTTTGGTAATGCTTGGTGAGATAATGATTCGGACGTGCTGATGCATCAATATGAAACTATGGTAATGCACCTTGGAATATTTCAGAGGGAAGTCCTAGTTCGATTTTAAAATAGATTTCAGTGTATAATGGGCAGGCAGTGTGGAAAATAGCAATCTTCTTATGAACGAATGTGAAAACAGGTCTGTTGTAATAATGAGGCCAGAGAGAGAATAAAAATTCAGCTGCAAAACTCAGAGTTTTGACAACCTTGATGTCTTTTTTAAGATGATTGGAGAAAATGTATTCTGACTTTGGTTTTGAGATTTGAGTACATTAATTTTTAGGAACTGGATACCTACTTGGTTCTGTGGGAAATGAAAAAAAAAACAAAAAACAACAACAAAAACCCTCTTTCTAAGATAGTGTCTTAGTTTCTTTTTGTTGATGTGATCAAATACTCTGGCCAAAGCTGCTTAAGGGAGAAAGGACGTGTTTTGACTGCTGGTTCCAGGGTAATGTCCATCTTGGGGGTAAAGCCACAGTGGCAGGAGCTGAAGGCAGCTGTCTCCCCTCATCCACAGTCAAGGCTCAAGGCCACACCAAGACTCCAGCTGAGTTCCTTTTCTTCAGTTCATTCAGCCTAGCATCTCTACGGAGGGAATGGCGACCCTCACAGTGGGCAGGTCTTCCCACTTCGGTGAACACAATCAAGATAATTCCTCACAGGCATGTCCAGAGGCTCGTGTCCGAGGGGAATCTAGATTCCCTCAAGTTGATAGTTAATTAACACCAACCACCAATGGAGATACATTGCTCCATTAAAACAAAACAACAACCTCAACTAAATAACAGAGTACTCGAAACCAAGATCTCAGGATTTGAGACAGACCCCCAGGACCCATGTTAAAAACAAACAACAAACAAGTTGGGTGTGGTGGTGCACACTTGGAATCTTAGTGCTAGGGAGGGGGAGACAGGCAGATTCTGGGGTCTCCTTGGTTGGCCAGCCTAGCCTACTTGGTGAGCCTCAGGCTAGTGAAAGACCCTGTCTCAAAAAACAAAGTGGAGCTGGGCCTGGTGGTGCATCCCTTTAACCCCAGCATCTGGGAAGCAGAGAAAAATGGATCCGTGAGTTTGAGGCCAGTCTGGTCTACATGGCGAGCTCTAGGCCAGATAGAGCTACATAGTGAGACCCCTGTCTCAAAAAGAGACAAACAGGTGCTTGGGGAAAGACATCTGAAGTTGCTCTTTGTTTTCTACAGACGTGCACATATATGTCTCTACGCACACATGTGCAATCACACATAAAGGCACAAATAACACGGTATGTTAGCAGACTTCAGAACTAGGAAAGCAAATCTCTGAAAGGAGTTATTTCTTTATTTGTATATGTGGGGATTTTTCACATGTGCTTGCATATATGTCTGTGTACCATGTGCATGCCTGGTGCCCAAGGCCAGAAGGAGGTATTGGATTCCTTGGAGCTGGAGTTACAGATAGTTGTGAGCTACCATGTGGGTGCTAAGAATCAAACCCAGGTCCTCTGGTCTACCTTTCCAGCCCCATAGGTAAGAATTTTAATCTATTTGATTTTAGCTTAAACTGTTGACCTTCAAGCATGGTAATGCAATGTGCATGCATCCTTTTAGAAAGCGTCTCCATTGACTTATCATTTTTGTGCATGTGTGTGATGTGCAGAAGCTGGAGGACAACTTTCAGATGCCCATTCTCTCCTTCCACTGTATGGGCCCCAGGGACTGAACTCAGGACCTCCGGCATGGCGGCAAACCCCTTGACCAGCTGAACCATCTTGAAGCCCACATCCTCTTTATTTTTATACTCTAAGGGTAATAGAAGTGAGAGAGCTGAAATAAGATCACATGACTTGTCTGTATTAGTAGAAAAGTCTGGGAACTTCCTAAGATGTCCCCTTTCCTCAGTGGAGACATGGTCAGATAGAAAAGAACTAAGACAACTTACCGGCCATGTGGTGACACACATCTGCATTCCTAGCACTGTGAGGCTGAGGCAGGAGGATTTCGAGTTTAAGGTCAGCTTATGCTATATAAGTAAGACCTTGTCTCAAAAAAAGAAAAGAAAAGAAAGATGGAAGGAAGGTGTCTGAAAGTCCCCAGGGGGCCTTCCTGGGTTCTAAGAGTAAAATCCGAGTATTTAGAATGGTATTTATTTATATATTTATATTTATTTATTGTTTTTCCCTGTGTAGCTCTGACTGTCCTGGAACTCACTCTGTAGACCAGGCTGGCCTTGAACTCACAGAGATCTTCCTGCCTTTGCTTCCCAAGTGCTGGGGGTCCAACGTGGCCTGACCTGGGACCTTAGGAACTTTAGCAGGATTGGAGCCACGTTCTTTGGTCTAGCTTGGAATCACAAGACAGATTGCT